GGATGATGTGCATCCTTCAGCTGCTGGTGTGTTTTACCTCATGCATGTCGGTACCACTCCCACATCACGTGCTCCACCTTCCAGCCCATCTCCCACCGAAACCATCACAACTGACATGACTCTCAAGGTAGAAAACCGCTCGCACCTCCCAATCAAAACGACTCTTAAACAGTTCGGTCACCTCATGCTGAGAAGAGAATCAGAGAGGTAAKATACAGTTACGAATAACTATTTGTGCTCGCGGACTATCACCTGATACAACTCGTCATCTGTCAACGCGGAGGTAGTACGAGCCAATTCACAAAAATGGAGTGATATTGGCAAGTACCACCACAACTTCAAGAGCGACAATGACCATAGATTGCCTATTATATTGCTCGCATTATACATCCTCCTCCACCCTTCCTCCCMTAGACTCTCAACCACCCTTCCTCCTCTACACTCTCAGCAGAAGAGCTCTATGGCAAGTGGTCAACCAGACTGCTACTCCAYGGTGTTCCGCACACCACAACTGCTCGCACCGCTAGGTGGCCTCTCATAGGAAATGAGCGCAGCGCCAAACTGCAAGGCGACTGTACAAAGAAAAGTCACAAGCTCGATGAACCCTCTTAACCAGCATGCATATGGTGACCAGACTAGTAGCAGAAACCGCAAAGCAATGCTCAAATCTGGCTAAGAGTAGTCAAAGGTGAAGTCTTTTCGATGATGAAAAACCCTCTCTGCAGGTCCTAGTAATGAATACAGCAACAACAGTAAATGTTCTTAGTGCTGGCTGGCCTCTCTACCTGCAGGCATGACCACCTATTCAGAATCTATGATTTCTATCCACTGATCGAGCACTGGATCTTCTTGAGACARGAGCTGCATAAACAGCTGGCTCTTCTTGAGTACATGGCTCATGCGCCAGTTTAGTCGCATAGCTGCACCTAAAATACCTCCACAAACAGTTGGCTGTTCTTGAGACAGGAGCTACATATCCAGGCTACTGAGCCTGTGTCTCTGTACTTCACTCTCGTGAGGCCAAATCTTTCCCGTACCTCGCTTGCCCCACCTTCCAGGATTCCCTCCAGCCAGTCCATCGCTGCCTGACGCTTCACACCATCTTCCGGACCATCATCCTTGAACATATCCTTTCCAACATTATTCATTCTCCGCTCAAGGTCTTCCAGGTCCAGAAATTCCAGACCAGCGTTCCCCACTGTTCCAATCACAAAGCTTGTCCAGTTCGCCAAATCGCCCAAGTCTGGCACAAGCTGATGGATGCCCATAGAAATTGCACAGCCGGTTTTCAGCAGCACAGCCATAGTAAGAATTGTCAACTTGAAGAGAGTCCACACATGGCGCCTCTCCTCGTTCTGCAAACACAACCTCTTCCCCTCCTGGCCATCTACAACATGGCAGCGGTCTTTGGATTCGCACATGAGATGCAGCTCCACTGGCTTCAAGCCAATCAGAAAACTCAGCTTCTGGCAAAGGCCATGTTTCCTCTCCGTGATGTAAACACGATGTGGGAGGCGATGACTGTGCTGCTCAATGGCGAAAACAGAAATGCTAGACAGGGCATTGCAGAGTCTTGTAAACGCATTACTCTGCTCCTTCCTCAGATTCTTCACTTCTTYTTTCAGCTCACCGATGAACCGGAAATTTCGGTCAACTTTTCCAGCAAGATAGCGAACACCCCTCGTCACCAAATCACCCAACTCTTGAACGTTGACTGTGGGCTGTTCACATTCAAAAGGTGCCTCAGAATGGTCATCGAAGCTAGCAGTGCTGTCTTTGCAACCAGAT